CGAAATAGCTTACTCCACCCATGTGTTCTTGCAATATCATTAAATAACCAATCATACCCAATTTTTGTTGCGGCCAAAAGAGAAAAATAGAGAGTGTGTCCCATGGCTCGCTCTTTAAGGTTTTTAGCACATTGTCTTTGGGTTGTGGTTAGCCAAGAAAGGGAAGTTTGGGGTGATGGTGGTTGAGGAAGTATTTGAGATGGTGTTTTTGTGTGGAAGTTTTGGAGGTAGCTTTTGATTGTGTGGGTTGTTTTTTTGTGATCTTGGTGGGCGGTTTTTTTTGTGATCTTCCGAGAATATGCATTGGGATTGTAGAGTGGCTTAGGTTGTGCGGAAGTTCGTGGGCTAGTCTTCATATTCAATCAACTACCAATCACAAGCCAATAAACCCAAATAATTCAAAGCCAAATATTTTCACCCGCAAAATCAATAATCAACCCATGTAAGCAATCCGAACAAAATCAACACCAAATGATTATATTGCTCATTGAATAATAATAATAAGAGGTGTAAAATTCAAGAATAAATACAATTGTTGTGGTAAGGAAAGATCAAAATTTTGGAATTGTATACCTCTAAAATGGAAATTGTGTATCAAGAATCATTATACCTCTTATATTTGTCCAATAATACTCCAAGAATACCCAATTCGATGACCCACAATCGTAGTATCAAAAACCCCAAAATCAATTTGGAAAGTTAGGGTTTTGAAACAAATAATTGGTGGAATTATGGTGGTGAGGGAGAGAGAGAACGGTGGAGGGGGGTTTGCCGCCGGTGGGGATGAGGCGGTGCCGGCCAGCGGTGTTGCTGCCGGTGGTCTGGCCAGCGGCAAGGAAATAGGAGAGAGAGAGAGTTGGCTTGGTTAGGGGTTTTACGTGAAGTTCTCGGTTTATTTTTTCCTTTTTTTAAAAAAAAATAATTTTTTTTAGGTTGTTAATGGGGCTGCGGGCGCAGGTGGGATCTTTGGGCAGGCAGAGAAGTAGGCTGAAGGGGAGGGTGCGTAGGTGGGTCGCAGATTGGCCTGCAGCTTGGCAGAATGTATGGCTGGAAAAGGATTGGGTAATTAAAGTGATTGTTAATCCTACGATTGGGTATTAACACTTACGAATTAACATATGTAGTTCGTCGCTAACATAATCAAATTCGCCAATTGTAACTAAGCCTCTAAAAATATGATCTTCCCATTCTAATTTTATTAGCTAAATAATTAACTCATGATATTGGCCAATTACATGAATTAAACAATCAAGAACAAATCAATTGGAATTACTCAAACCCTAACTCATAAATTCATAGATCTAAAAGCATAAATAATCATGGTATAAGCATGGTTTCCCTCACTTTTCCCTAGAAAACAACTACTCACTCATGATTGAAATAACTAAAACAAGAGAAGTAAATAATCCAGAATTCATGATCGATAAATTAAAAGATGAAAGAATAAATAAAAATACCTTGAATCTTGAATTAATGGAGAGCAATAGTTAGGGTTCAACTATGGAGAAAGAGAAAACTCAAGAACATACTTTTTCAATCTCCCCAAAATATCAAAAATCAATAGAGAGTCAAAAGATAGGAAAAAATAAAAGATAAACCTAGGAATTCCTTTTGAGTATTTATATTATCTCCATCCTCGGATAAAAAAATAATAAAAATAAATAGATAAATGCATAAGCTAGAATGTTATTGGATGATAGAAGATGATGTGGCATGTACACAACACCAGTAGACCAATGACAAAACTCGTGTAGGGAGCTAGGGGTGATTTCGTAACATTCAATGTCAATCGTCAATACCTGCGCCCGCAGGTTGCTGGATGCGCCCAAACAGAGAGTTTGCAGCGAAAATTGGGTGCAGGTTTTGCCCGCAGCAAATCCCGCGGGTGGTTGGAAGCGTCACTCAGATTCAAATGCCCATAAATTCTGTTCTAGGAGGTTTCTTGGGGCATGTGACCTATAGTTAGAAAGCTATTGAAGTCTAGTTTCCAGTCCAATTTGAATCACCTCAATCTGATGTGTAGATCAAAAGTTATGGCTGAAACAATGCACAAGTGTCAATTTTGAAGCTTCGTAGAGTGTTTTCTACTTGTTGTATTTACTTGCTCTAAAACTCATGATTTTCCGAGATCATGACCAAACCACCTTAGGGGACGATGTAGGCATTCATTTTCGGGAATTTTGGGCACAAATTAATTTTCCTTCTACATTTACCCTTTTGCTTTTGTTTTTCTTCCACTCACATAAATTTGGGATTTTGGGTTTTCATGAACTTAATTGCATCCCTTCGAGCTTCCACTTCCTTCATAGCCATATTACAAGCCAATTAGCCTTTGTTTTGTTTTGACCTTTAGTGATAAGTGAAGCATGAGCTAAGGTTTGTAAATTTCAAAATTTGTAAAGTTCTAGTGAATAAAAGTGAATGGAATGTAATGTGAAATGCAATAGTATTGCAAGGTTGAAATTCCAAATGCAAGAACAAAAAAAAAAAAAAAAAAAAAAAAAAGCAATAGCAAATTCAAGAAAAAAGAAAAAAAAAGTGTTCAAAGTTTCCAAATAAAGTAGTGTTGGTAAAGTGTGAATCTCAAGTGAGCAAGCATGTACATAAATAAGCTTAGCTCCTTGTTTGATATTGTGAATAGAGGCAATATTCCTCAAAGTTGGTTTGTTCTAAGCTCATGTTTTGTAATGCTTCACTTTTTAGGGAAAGCACCAGAAGCCAAAATACTTACCAGACCTACCCTTAGCCAACATTACAACCCAAAAACCCTATTGACTCTAGGGAGTTAAGTCCTAGTCGGTGGAGGAGGTCATGAGTTATTTACTTTGATTTGACAACATGTGCTAGTGAGCCTTAAAATATTTTCCCTTGTTCATTTGAGCCCACTCCTTGGGGCTATGAGAAGTCACATTGGTGGAGGAATTGAAGTCGAGGAGGGTTGACATGGAAAGGAGGTGAAAGAGGATGAATCTTGCCTTGTTTGAGCCTTTAAAAGCTCCAATTCATGTGACTATCCCTTTTTGGATATTGATTGACTAGCAAGCCTACCCGGACGAGGGGTCGAGTGCTCATTAGCGTCCACTAATTGTTCCTTATATAAGTTCATTCTCAAAGGTTTTTGGTTTTATTTTCCACATTTTCTCTTTATTTTCGTTTCTTTCACCTTTTCATTTCTTGTTTTTGAAAACCTTTGCCTTGGTTTCTTTTGACTTAGAGTTGTGGGTTAAACTCTTTGGAAACCCTCACGAGAGCATCACTCGTCCTCTGTAGCGATGTAGAGGTTTAAATGGCTTATTGCATATACTAAATGCAACCGTGATTCCTATGAAAGTGAGTTAGTGTATAGTTTGTTTCTTTTGTTGTTTTGTTTTTTAGTTTTTAAGTTTTCTTTGCGCGTCCTCGTGCAAAGATTCTAGTTGAGAGGGAGTTTGATAACTGGCACAAAGGGCCACTTAATAAGCCCTTTTCCCTCCTCTAATTAGGGTCTTCTAGTGTCATTTGTGCTAGTTTTAGGGTTGTTTTAGCATGTTTTGCACTCTTTAGGTATCTTTGAGTGCTTTTGTGCATTTCGTATCTTTTTGGCACGTTTTAACCCGTTTTTGCTAGTTTGTTTAGTTTTCTTCCTTCTTTCTCTATTACTTGGCTTGGTCATGTGTTAATGCATGTAATATTTGATGAGTTGATGACAAGTCAACCCTTCTTTGGAGCTTTGGTCCAAAGACGGAATCGTTCTGAGACCTATCTTCACTCTTTCAGCTATATCTTCTATCCTACTCAGAATTTAAAGGCAAAACCAATTGCATTATAAATTAGATTTCAAGAGTTTTCCAACGACATATTACGCGCTGCAATCCGAGGTCCGAGTCAAGATTTATGAGCGTTTGAAAATCAGCTCGAAGCCCTCCAGGCGGGCGCCTGGAAATTTAGGCGTGCCACTGATTGTTCTATTTTCTAGCTCGACTTTCTGACGAATGCGAGGCGTTTCAGGTGGGCACCTGAATGTTCGGGTGGGCGCCTGAAACGTTCTCCCATTTTTCCAGATTTCGATTTTGGGGCCGACGCAAATGCATCTTCAGAGTAGTTTCTTTAGCCGTGACATTCTAGGCAGGCGCCTGTCCGTACATCGGGTCCCAGATTATGATGGCAAAGTTGTAATTTGGTGATGATGATTCTCTTAGTAATGGAATTATTGTAAATTGGTTGAATTGTAATAAGGAGGTTTAAATAGAGTATTAGAAGGAAGAAAAGAAGTTTTAGTTTAGTTTTTTTTTTCCAGATTTTATAGAGTTTAGCTTTAATCATCTTCAACATTAGATTGTAATCCACCATTAGAGGAGAACTTAGAGGAGAGAGAATTTCATGTAACTTGATGATTTCTTAGCCAAATTCTACAATCCTTATATCAATTTGATTCCCTTGAAGCTAGTAAGTTCAATTTTCTACTTTTCTTTTAGTTTTAATTGCTCAATTTGTTGTTTTCATAGATGTTTGTTTTGTGCAATGTTATGGGTCTTTTATTTTCTTTGATTTTTGATGCATAAACTTGTAGATAGTGTTCCTAGTTGAATTGAAGTAGTTTTCTAGTTGAATTGTTGAGTTTTGGTTAGTTTTCACAATACCCTTATTTTTTATTTCTTGCATTTGTGCTAAAATGGAGTTGATCATGCTTATTGCTTTAATTCTTGCTATTTCCTTGCTAGTGTTAATCATGTTTGAGTAGATTCCTTACCTATGGGATGAGGTGATCTATGCTTGCTCCCTATTCCAATGTTTAATTAGAATTTTGATGATCAATTCATGACTATCTACTATTGTGGTTCCCTAAAACTTTTAGTAATAAGCTTGATCACCCTAGAACTAGAAATGGAGGGGGGAATTGGTTGGTTTCCACCAAGGGATTGGGGATTCTAGTCAAGTCACTTGGTCTCATTTGTTTTGACAATTGTCAGCTTAGGTTATAGTTGGAGTTTACCCGGGTTGGTAATTGGTTGATCGGAGGACTCGAGATCGAGACGATTCTAGTTATTAATTAGACAAGGACCGTAATCCATTTTCTTTTGCATGAATTGAGCATATTACCATTGTTAGGACATTGAATAGAGGCAAGCATAGTGATCTAATTCCCCTAGCATTCCTTTATTGCAATTAAACACCTTAGATTACTTAGTTTAAACCTTAGAAACAATCATCCATTCTAGTTTGTTTTCCACGACTCAATATTCAATTACAATTCAAAGGTCCTTTCAAACCTCCTTGTGGTTCGACTCCTAAACTTGCCACTAGCTAGTCTAGGGTAATTTTTTGGATTATAAATTTGTATTTGAGGGTTAGTCGTCGTGTTAGACCAACGACCTAGCAAGACATCCGTCAATGAACTGCGTGGTATAGGACGAACTTGAAGGCCACCAAATGCCCTAACAATTTCAAGCGGTCCGGCCAAAAGATAGGGACTATAGATACCACTCCTCTTTCTATTGATAATGTTATGAGCTTTCAAGATAAATTTGAGAGGATTTGTAAGATCTTCATCCTCTAAAATCAGGAGTAGAAGTTCCATAATCAAAATTCGATTTCCCCACAAGTTTCCCTTGATAATTTCATCCAAGCTTAATTTTCCTTCCACGTTCCTAATGTCGAAGAGTATTGATGTTGTTGCTCGGGCATTTTTGAGCTGTTGCTGCTGTGTTTCTTGGAAGTATAATTGAGTTCCCAAAAATATTATTCCGATGACCACATCATTGATTGTCTGTTCATCAATAGAGAAAGTATGAGCAAGTAGTGATGCGAGAGATAGAGAGGAAAAAAAGTAATGGGACAGTGTGATTAGAAAGAGGTAGAGAGAATTGATTTCGCAAAGTAGAAGTGATGCAAGTATTTGAAATTTCTTGAAATAGAAATTGATGCGAGTAAAAATAAAAAAAAAAATAAAAAATAATAAAAAAGGAAGTATGAAAGTATAACAATTAGTATTATTAATCATGTATTACCACTCCAAGATGATCCTTGATTGTTTTAACATCATTGAGTGATAAAGCAAGCGAGCAAACTCTAGCCGAAAATGGAAGAGTCATGTCTATAGTTCCAGACCTAATTGGAGTATGACTATCGATATCGTCCCAACAACTTGTCCAAAATCATATAAAGAGTATATGATTGAAGATATAAAATTAGGGACATTAATCTTGAAAAACTAGATCAAATTCTTTGAAGTAGTGTTTTGTTGGGTTTGAGATGTAATAAGTTTTTTCTTTGTCAAGAATTAACACCAGCCATGAGGGAGGTGCCATCACTAATAGCGTGGTGAAACTTGAATATGAAGATTGCTGGTACATGGTGGCCTTTAGGGCTATTGATAACATGAAGTTCCCATAAGGGTTTGTTTGGTGGAAATTGTGAGGTTGCTATTTTTGACATGTAATTATCATATTGCTCATTATACTTTTCTGCTGATAATTCTGGCTGAAAATTTGGAACTTTCCACATTTTGTCCCTGTTTTGTTTTCAACCGGCTCATGCACAATATAGAATCAATCAATTCAGTTATCAACGTCGTCATTGTCAACTCGTCATCATCATCAAGTGAAAATTAAGACATTGCCGTGATGTATGTTATCTTCAACTTATTTTCAATAGTTATTGAATAACATAAATTTAAGATAAGTACCAATAATTATCAATATGTACAAATATGTTGAAAAAAAAAACATTCTTATCATTACTTCTAATAAGCAACATTAAGTACCAATAAATATCTATAGCTATGGATAAGCACCAATAAGTTTAGTTAGAGTTAAGATAAATTCAAATATGATAAGATATGGTCAAATAAGTATAAATATTAGGATATTTTGTCAACAACTACCACCCAAAACTGCACTTTTGTTAACAACTACCGCATTTTTTAAACAACTATTACATAAAATGTTTTCTACTATCACATTGCCTTTTTCCGCTACATTTAACCGAGTTTCTCAATTTTGGCCGTTTGAGGGGCCCACACCCACATTGGCTTTGGGGTTTTTAAAAAATTGATTCAATTAAACCCAAAAAAAATCAAATTAAAGCCCCAAATATTCAATCAAAAACCGTAATTAGTACAAAATTCGAACCCTAATTCGAATTTTGGGGAATTCAAACCCTAATTAGGTCAAATAGGGAAAATTCATGTAAAATTTCATAAGGAAAAGAGAGAATTCGAGGAAAGGAAGTTGGGTGTGGGCCCCTCAAACGGCCAAATCTCAAATCTCGGTTAAATTTAACTGAAAAACGCATTGTGGTAGTGCAATAATAAGAAAAACATTTTACGTGGTAGTTGTTTTAAAAAATGTGGTAGTTGTTAACAAAAGTGCAGTTTTGGGTGGTAGTTGTTGACAAAAAAAACCTAACTATTAAATAAGTTGAATAGAATGGAAACAAAAGAAGTACTCAATTACCGGTAAACCTTTCAAGTGATTTTCGCACGACTCAACCATTTCCAAACTCTTCTCTCTCATACATGAACGGTAACGGTGGATACTATTCATGTGGGAGGGAGAGATCAAAGTGCAAAAATCAATTGAGTAGTGCGGAAATCATTTCCAAAACTATTAGGATAGAGACAAATTTGTAATGAGTTTGACACTCACTGATTTATCTTTGCACTCCATTTTATAAGCATGTTATCAATTAAGATTAAAGAAATTGGAGTGCCAAAATTTTGATGATCTAATTATGAAATGAATTAGATTCTATGTCGTCTCCCAGTCAAACAACCACCTCCATTAATTGCCCAGATATTGACTGTTGAGTTCAATATTACTTGAAAAATGTGATACTCAAGACATGGAATTAACACATGACCATCAGAATCAAAAGCCAAGAAACCTTAATAAAGAATTGAGACAACAACAATATCGTGTATAATAGTAAAAACCATCGCAAATCAACTCAAGTATTCATCACTTCCGTACGTCATCAAAGTAACAATTACACTGCACAGCCTACTTAACTCTGAAACCAAATAAATTGAAATTGGAAACAAGGAATGAAGTTAAACGGATTGATTCCAAAATGCTCGACTTTAACGACCTCAAAGGCTTTTGGCATCTGCTGTGGTGGAGCTTTCCTCATCATCTCTAGCTGCTTTCTTGAACCATTCGTTCGCATACTAACATAACATGGTAGGAACAAGTAGCCACCCTTGTCATACCTGGACAATTGTATAATAGGAGATGCCAATTTATAGTAAACAAATGTAATTATTTATGGTAACAACCACCATAACACTTAAATTCACTTGGGAGGAATTCTAGAAATACACAGCTATATACCAGTCACAGACGACTATAAACTCACAACAATTTTATTTTTTTTGTACAGTGAAGAATAGGATGATAAGTTTATTGTGTTAAATTATTTTGACTAATTTGCTCGTTTACATTGTTAAATCTCTTCCTTAAAATGAGTGAAAAATGAATTGTTGATTTAATTTAGTGACGGAGGAAGTATAAATAACACAAGAGTAAATAAAGCAAAACACGGGAACTTAAACCTCTAGACACTAACTTTATCAACTATAAAGCCCATCAAACACAATAACATGACGTTAATCTATCAAAAGATCTCCATTAATATAATTACAAGTAGCTTTTTTTAATAATCAGAAGATCTCAATTAAAGGACCAACAGATAAGCTCAATTCCTCTGTATCTCCCCTTGAGAATAATCTGAGAAAATTCAAGCTGCCTTAGTCAATAAAAAAATCATCCCTAGATTTCAAGAATCAATTAAAAAGTCTTCTCCAAAGATAGATAACAATGATAATAGAAAACATGTGAACAAGACTTATTCTACTTAATGTTCAATCTTGTTAATACAACATGCTTCATTCAAGCGCACTTTCCTAAAATAATGTCAGTCACTTTTTCACAAATTTTCACTTTACCATCCACGTCACCAGTTGAGTTTCTCTCTTTTTTCTTTTTTTTCTTTGCAAACCGCTACTTGAAGTGGTGTTTCGCTAAGACAAATTGCTACTTGAAGTAGCGATTTTTATCTTAGTAAACCACCACTTCATTAGACATATAAGTATATTAAACAGTGTAGGAGGAATACCTGCTCCCAATCATACACATTAATTCCTAAAGTCTGGAACTGTGGATATCTTCTCTAACTGTCCATATAAACTCTTCATTCCATTCATAGCTCAAAATTAGTTTGTTATTATTACTATTTTTTATGGTGTATTATCGTCTGTGAGCTTTAGTTAAACATCTGAAGCCTCAACCACTTTCTTGTTCAATATTTAAATTGACAAAAAAAAAAAAAAAAGTCAATTTACAAGATCCAAATTTCAAAATAGAGAAACTCAAATTTCACCCAATCCATAATTATACCCAGTTAAACTACTTGATTCAAAATTAAGGGGAAAAAAGTATATTATGAAACTTTTTTTGATAAAAATCTAAACCTGCGAAGAACGCCATAAACTCACTAAACATTTTTTTTTTTTTGGCCCATTTCAGTGAATCCCATGCCCTCTCAAGCTACAAGAAGATAAGGTCATCAGATACACATATTATAAACAGAAATCCAAGATGAGCCTAATCTTGCCTCAGCCAAAGTTATGCAATTAGCTAATTACTGGTTAGAAATTTCACAAGGCTTATAGTAATTTCAATGGCACAATCCCCCGACACTATCTGAGCACCAATTTCTTCAGACACCATCCGAGTAGCACGAAACTGCAACCAAAGGATTGATATCACAGTCAATCAGATGACTTCCTGGATCCAAATTAAAGTTAACCTTTGCAACGCAAAAAACTAACTGTACACAACAAATGCTTGTCTTGTTTGGATCAGAACATAAATCTACATGGAGTTCAAAAAACACAAGCCTGAACTCTGACATATCCAAGCCCCACAGGCCCATGCTCATCAGATGCAAATTAGAATATATCATGCCTCATCCAAGATGTTAAGGAAACAAACTCTCTAAGTTTAGCCTTTAGGGGAAGCAAAAGTATTATTTATATGCCTCTAGTCTTAATAGAATCAGCTAAAATTTCATGATCCCAAGGCAAGACACCACCTATATATGTAGTCACGCAACTCTTGCTACAACTCAATTTACAATGACAAGCAAAACAAAGCAGCTTTAGACACAAGCCTGCTATGTGCTATATCCACCTCTTGGTTTTAAGAAGAGCAGGAAGGTAAGTCTCCACAACAAAATCCACATGAAGCGCGATCACTATGGTCATTGTGGGGTTGATCACAGCAAAAATTAGAATAAGAATATAACAGAGGTAAACTGAAATCAGCACAGGGAAAATTAGAGGTGGCCAGAGGGCTTGGTTGGGGAAGACCGGATAAAAAAGGGACTGGTCATAAGCCAGGTCACAGGCTACCTCTAATGTAACCAGAAATGGATATACTCAACTACCTCCAAGACCAAGGGTGAAATAGACAAACAATAAGCAAACCTAATCAGAAACTGGACCGCAGTGGATACAAAGCCTGATCTAAACAGGTAGGACTTTAAGGATTACAATTCAATGTTCATCAGATCAGTTATTTGAATATGAAGGTATAACAGGCAGCAAGTGATCATCTCTGCATCTTCTATCAACAAAACGTGTCATAAGCAATTCTGAGGAATATTAATGTCTTGAAACAAAATACCTGTCTGTGTTCACATTTTTATCTTCTTATTATGTTAACCATCAACTAAAAATGTCACATTTGCATATAAAGGAAGGCCCCATACAACTAACTTCCCTTTGTGTAAGTGTATGTTTTGTGTGGTACAGGAATAAATTAAGTGTTCTAGTGATAGTTCAACATCCCAAAACATTCTTTTATTCTGTGGCTGGCTATGCAGAACAGACTGAGAACCAGGAGTATGCTAGTGGATTGGGGCATTTGCCAGGACAATACTTGTTTACTGTGTGGTAATGCTGTTGAGGATAGGAAGCATCTGTTTTTTGACTGTGATTATAGCAGGAAGTGCATTAGTGGTATTAGTGCTTGGTTGAATATCCCTGAGTTTCTGTTTAACATTGATACCTCCTGGAAATATTGGGGAGAGAAGATGCAGGATCCTATTAAAAGGAAGGTCTGCTATGCTGCTTTGGCTGCTGTGGTGTATCAGATCTGGTATGCAAGAAACAAAGCATTTTGGTTAAAGGTTATTATTCACCCAAGGGCAGTGTGCAGAGTTATCTGTGCTGAAGTTGTGAAGAGATGCAGGCAGTTGATCAATTGTAAATGGAAAAGACAGCATTGTAAATGGTTGTATAGCTTACAAGTTTCGTGTTGTAGCTAGAGTTGTATAGTGTTTCTGTTTTGTTTGTGCTGGTGCTAGTGGGGTGTACCCTTCCTAGAAGGTGCCACTGCTTTAGTTTCCAGCTTGCTTCCCTTCCCTGTTTTGAGAAACCCTTCCTAGAAGGTGGTCTCATCTAGGTTAGGGATTTTGTTAGGAGGTTGTATGCCTTTTGTTAGGCTTGTGTAGTGGGGAGAGTTACACAGCTTGTATTTTTGTCAGTTGTAACATTTTTGACCTTTTGGTAATAAAAGCAAATGTTTATGGTTAAACTTGATGAAAGCGTACAGATCACTTATGAGGTGATTATTTTAGATAAGATTAATATACATATTGTTTATCAAGATATTTTAATGTAATATCTTGTTTATGGTGAAGTTTTAAATCTATTTTTTTTTACGAGAAAAGGCTTCATAAAATATATCAAGCGGCTAAAGAGCTGTCTAATACCATCAAATCAGAGACTTCTGATGGAGCCTTTTCCGACCACACTGTTAAACCAACATAATTCCTGCTTAATAGAGCAAGCTTATGGGCAACTTTATTTTCCTTCCTAGACACATGAGAGAAAGAAAAGGAATTACAAGATATCACAAATAATCATTCAAAAGCTTGAGTTATCACTCGACCCTTGCTGCAGTTGTGTATACTTCTTCATACAATGAGTTTCAAGGATAACGGCATACATATCTTTTTTATAAAAAAATGTCATAATACCACGTTTTGCCTAGAGTGTATATATTAGCATATACAACCGATTGTATGATGCTCCGCATAATTTATCAACTTTACAATTTTTTTTTTTGAAATAAGAACAATTCATTAATAAAAAAGTCATACGACATCTATAAAAGAGATCAAATCCAATAAATACAAAGCAAATTGAATCAAATAAAATTCTAATTCGACAAAACCATGATCGTAGATGTGATCTAACATTGATGTATTCCCTCGCCTTTCACATCGCTGTTCTTTGCAGCCTTCTACAAGGAGGGCTTGCGATCTGTTGTAGTTTTTGAATTGAATACAACTTGATCCAATTGATTGTACATGTAGATTTGAGATCTGATTCGATACCGCATAAGCTTCCATCAACCAATTGATTCCTCCAAATTCTAATCTCCTGTAAAGGAAGAGAAGAAAACTAAACTCCAAAAGACTCCTATTAAAGGAGAGAAAGAACCCAAAGATTGGTTAGAAAACTCTCATAAAGAGAGAAAGAGTATTATTAATGACATAAATAAAAAAAAAAAAAAAGAAAGAAATTAAAGAAGATTTGGGGCGCTTCAAGATGATGATGGTAGCCCCTTGCGGCTTGAAAAAGGGCTTGGAGTTTTAGGAGAATTTCAGAGAAGAAAGAAGATTAGCTCCTTTTTTTTACCAACTTAACAATCTAACATTAATAATAATAATAATATATTTATAAAAAAAAAAACAAAAAACAAAAAAACCTTAGAATTAGTCAATTAGATGGATTTTTCACCAAACTAAGCCGGGTTTTATAAATATTTCGCAAAGTGGGATCGTGGCAAAACTATTTACCAAATTAAGCTTCAGGGGTAAAACGCTGTCTCGGACAGCGTTTTATACCCAGGGTTTTGGTTTTTTTTTAAAAAAAAATTAAGGTATAAGACGCTGTCTGAGACAGCGTTTTATACCTTTTTTTTTTGTAAAATTTCGTAAATTCTGATTTTTAAAAAATTAAAAAAAAAATCAAAGATACATAAAACGCTGACTGAGGCAGCATTTATTGCTTAAACAAAAAACGTTGTCTAGGACAACGTTTTTTGTACATTTTATTTTGCACATAAAACGCTGTCCCAGACAGCGTTTTATGTACAATTTATTTTGCACATACAACGTTGTCCCAGACAGCGTTTTATGTACAATTTATTTTGCACATACAACGCTGTCCCAGACAACGTAAATTGTACATACAACGCTGTCCCAGACAGCGTTTTATGTACAAATTATTTTACACATAAAACGCTGTCCGAGATAGCGTTTTTTCTGCTGGCCAACAGCCAGCAGAATCCTCACATCAGCCCCCAAGCCTCACCACTCATTCAGCCACCACCCTCCACTCATCCAGCCACCACCACCCTTCAACACCATCCCCACCACCAACCCCAACCTCAACCACCATCCCCACCACCAACCCCTTCAAACCACACATAGATTCATTCAAAAAACATTTATTATATTAATAATGTAAGTGTTATATACAACAGACTATCAAATCTGATTACAGCAAATAAATCAGATAATACTATCCGGACTCATTTATTCGAGGTAGCGGCTCTCTATCCTGTCTGTCGTCCCTCTGTCTAACCCGACGCCGCCTGTAATGAGTAATGGTGGTAAATGGGTCTCGGGGCGATGGCGGAGTCAGCTCCTGGTTGGACGACGGGTCCTCCTGTGGCGCAGTACTGTGGATGAAGTACTCCTCTGCGGCTCTGGATGACGTAGGATCACCTCCACCGCTACTTTGGTCGGTCTCAAACTAATGGATGGAGTAGCCTCCATGACCGTCCCGCGGGTGGACGAGATGGCGGTGGCCATATCTCTGTAAGGTAGCCACGCCCATATCTCGCACTCGCTCGACCTGAGGTCTGGTGGATCCGTCTACAAGGGCACCTGAGAGTGCATCAACCATTGTTGCCATATCCGCCGCCTGTAGTAATCATCGATTAGTCAGTTGTATGATATCACTAGGCGAAAAAACCCCAATCCCCACCGGTTCAAACCACACATTCCCCACCGGTTTTGAACCGTTCTTGATTTGGGGGGTCCTAAATCCTCAAAGATTTCCCACCGGTTCAAAACTGGTGGCAAAAACCACTTTTCCCACCGGTTTTGGAGTGAACCGGTGGCAAAAACATGTGATTTATGTTATAGATGGAAGACTTCTCCCACCGGTTTTGGGGTGAACCGGTGGCAAAACCATGACATTTCCCATCGGTTTACACATTGAACCGGTGCCAAAAGTCTCCAAAAAAATTTTTAAAAAAACTTTTAGCACCGGTTCTTTACAAAACCGGTGCCAAAAGTGCCCCAAAAAATTAAATTTTTTTTTTTTTTTTTTTGCATTTTTTTCACTTAAATTGTACCAAATACTTATATATAATCATAATATACATAAAACACGTATATTTGCCTCAATAACTTGTAAAATTACACTTTAAAAAACAAAAAAAAAATGGACATATAAATACTAACATATATATTTTCTTCAAAAATAGCCAACCATGATGCACTGCAATAGAAGACAGCAGCCCACCCTAACAGAAACAAAAAACAAAAACAGCCCAAACAGACACAGCCAGCAGGCTTTCAGCAGCAGGTTTCCAAACAGATGAGCATACCAAGCATAGCCTGCCACCCAACACCTGCAGCAACCAAATCCAGCACATGAACTGCACCAGAGCCTGCAACCAGATCCCAGTAGCCAGGAACAACACAGCAACCAGAAACCAGAAACCCGAGCGTCTGTAAACCAGACCCTAGCAGACCTGAACTCAACAAAGCCAGAACCCAGCAAACCAAATCCAGCACCCAGAACAGAGACTGCAGCAGAATCTGTACCAGAGTAAGACCTGCTACAGGACCTGCACGAGACAAACTCAGCATGGTATATACTAGTTAATACTAGTTCGTTGCACCCACCAAAATTCTTTTCCCTCAAATCATAAATCTTTATCAACTTTAAAGTTAATACATTTTCTATGAGGTGATGGACTGCAATGACATTAACTAAAATCAGTCGTATAAGGTAGTCATGGCTACTCTTTCAGGTTGTGGGTTGCTAAAAGGCCAGACAAAACTTTGAAAAAACCACAGATAGCTGTTGAATGCATGTTGACACAACCGTGACTGCTATTTAGAACTCCGTATTTGATTAACTCATACTTGGTAGTTCACTTGTAAGATCTGAAAGACTTACGAATCAAATGTCAGAAACTATGCAAGTCCACAGCAGAGGGCAGCTTAGCCAGGGACTTAGCCTATTGTGGACCATGTATCCTAGCAGTAATAATACTATCAATGGTTATTACTATCCTTCAGCACATTGTGCATATGGGAGGAGCGGGGATTAATTTAACAAGGACTCACACAGTTTCTGGTCCCAGGCTTCTACCAACCACCGCGAATAATTACAACTTAGCTATTGTTGGAATTTAATACAGCAAATAAGCAAGTGTTTATGTTAACAACAAATAACAGGCAGTATCATGTGTTAACATAACTTCTCAATTAAAAAAAGCTTGGAAAACTAATATCACAAGAGTATTGATCAACGAAAAACACGAGATTATTTCAATTCTAGTGTTTCAAAATGATTTTAATTGAAAGCAATCATAATAAAATTTCCAACTTCATTACAAATGTTAATTAACATCCCACTAAAAACTACTACCTTCAATATATGTACATAAAACAACTAAATTGACCAAATTGAGAGCTGTACATTGGTTTTATTTAAGTGGTCAGATAATAATCATAATAAATAACGAAGACGAAGCAACAGCTTTTAGTCACCTGGATTAAATTTCTCCCCTTTGATAAGATCAACTGCTTTGTACTCATATTGAAGTCCTACAGCATGATCAAGCTCAAATTAGTCCAAATTATAATCAGAATTTGCAATTAATTGAAAATGCTAAATAAGTAAAATATTGGAGGAAAAATAAATTGAGGAAAGCAAAGATTAAACCTTTTAAGTTTAAAGCAAATCGAACACGCCACGAACAAGAACTTAGCCAAAAAGAGTAAAGCACCCTACTTGTTGATGCTGAAGAAACCCTACTAATTCATGTAAAATATAAACTTACTCATACATCACACATTGAAACACAATATGAAGAAACCCTACTAAGGCAAATAAGATCATACACCGCAAGCATAAGGAATATATATGTCAATATTCAGAGATAAAAGTATAATAGTAAAGGATTAAGGACATGGTGATAAGAATCATACCACAATGTTTGCATTCATAGTGTCTCTCTCCATAAAGGTCCTGTCAAGTGGCATTTTTCCAATACCACTACGCATCACAGTTTGTGCTAACTGAGTTACTGCATAGAGGACATTATCATTGCCATAGTTGATATAAATCCTCTTGTATATATGAAGGAGAATAGGGATGCAGGTACATATCAAAATAATTGCTACACTAGAATGTAAAAATCAGATACGACACACATCCTAGAATTGGACATGGTTGCAAGGACACGAGTCACACGACATATATGGAACATGTTCATTTTTAGAAGACTTTGCGTGAGTTAAAGCATACAGATGCATGCACACATGTTAAGCAGACTTGATAGTTAATTTTTGTTGAAATACTTGTGTGAAACGTACTTGTGAAAACATATCATACTTATTCTCATCTTCATTATATTTGTACATTTTTTTTCTCTACAATTAGGGGTTCAAGATAATTGAAGTGAATGAGTGAGCATGGAGTGTTGTGTAAGAATTATATACCCTTGTCAGAATGTCGATTGTTCGACATGGGTAGGAAGACAAGCTGAAGAGCCAAAGTAACATAGGCTTTAAGTTGTCAGAAAAGAATAGCATTACTACATATGTACATATCTAGGCTCCTATCCATTATAAATATCTTATACATTCCACTTCCATCATCAGATTTTCATTTTGCAGTAATAAGATTACCTAAATTAATAAATAAATTCATCTTATCCCTCACATATACATAAACTAGGTCCAAGATATGACTGAGGCTTTAACAATAAGATAGATGGACAAATTAAAATCTTTGTTCTATGCTAAGCTTCATGCATGAAACCTTATATGATGCATCAAATTCTAGATTCAAATTGTACAAAATTTGCTTTGCTGGTAACCAAGAGTAAGCATACCAGGAGGCTGCTTCTTCAAGGGCAAAAAGTACACCACCAACAGGAGCACGAAAAGCAGCAGCCACTCCAGCTGCAGCACCACAGGTGATCAAATCTCGCCGGTCTCTATCATTCTTGAAATATCTGAGCTAATTCCAGGTCAAACCATACTTGCGAGAGCCACCTTGACCAAGTAGATTGGCGATGCAAGCCCCAGTATGAACCATAGGGCCTTTACCAACAACAAACCCAGCAGAAACACCAAGAACATAACCAAAGATCTGACCATGAAACATTATGTGAATCAACAGTTATAACTACTAGTATTTTCTTCTCTAGTAAAGGCATAAGAACTGAAAACTAGATATTTATTTACTTTATACAGATGGGGAAAAAACACTACAAGTTCAGGAATGTAGCAATTAGTTCATAAATAATCACATGAAAGAAACCTCCTGAGTGTTAACTGTTCGTGTATACACTTAAAAATTCTTCTAGCAATGATGCATAAATCATAATCTAGTTTAATAAATTATAGAGCATATACTTAATTATCCTTAGTTAGCCTCATTAAAGAGACTGAATAATAACCACTCAACTCATGAATTGCCTTACGGAAAAAATAATTTAACCGTTCTTTCTTGGAGGAAGGAATGTTGGCATAATAAGCAAATCAGACTTCATTTTTTTTAGGGGTAAGGGGTGGGCTTCACCTTGATTTCCTATCACATGAATATCAAGGGGGTATTACCCACGGGGGAGGGGGATATGAGCCTCGAACCCAGGTCACAACCACGGGAAGTGAAGCCTTGCTCCACTAAGCTATGGGCTTCTTGCTCTATTCATCAGACTTCACATCATGACAAGAATGAGATATCTTCAGTCACTCCCCTCCCACACACACACACCAAAAAAATTATAAAATTAACTAAACAATTAAAAAGTCATTCCAATAATCTACTTAATAGTTAAACTAGACTAGTATCAACAAAATAGCTTAAATTTTGAGTAGTATCACTAGCATTTGCCCGAGCCAAAATAGCTCATGTTAACATTCATAATGAAGCAAACCATCACAAGTCACTCATACAACAAACCAAAGTATGATCAGCATGATAAACAATAACAAGAAGTTCAAGAATTGAAGTTACACATACATCAACCTTGGCAGTTGACACATAGGAGATAGACATGGTGACAGATACATTCATTGGAAGTCCTTCTCTGTAAATAACCACAACACCAAGCTCATCAACAAGGTTCGCAATCGTGCCGGATGCTAAATTTCCATTTCTATCCTGGACCATTAAGGAATCAAACATGTATTCCAGAAAATTAGAAGCTAATAAAAATAAATTGAAAAATCTAAATTAACAAAACCCTAGAAAAATGCCAATATATTTCAGAACTAATAACCTATAATAATTTTAAAACAACAACAATAACAATGAAATTGCCCCAATTTTGACCTAAAAACTGCAATCAAAATTGTAACCCTAGCAAGAAGAAAACGAAATTGAGGTAAGAAGTTAAATAAATAGAATTCAACAACGAACCTGGTGGTCAGCTGTTGGACGGTGGTGGTGGAGCACAAGGACGGTGGTGCGTGCGACCGGAGCAGGCAGAACCAGCAATGGTCGATGGTGGGCACTTGCGAACAAATTCGGTGGTGCTTGAGACAATTAGAGGCTGGAACCCACCATCACTAGCACCGACAATTAGAGGCAGACCCAGCAATGGTCGATGGTGGGCACTTGCAAATCAGAAGCCCCTTCAATGGAGAATGTCGAGTACGCTTCAATGGAGGAGAGAGAGAGGCAGAAGAGAGAGGAGGAAAGATCGAGGAAATGAAAGAGTAATAAAGAAAATTGACCGATTCTAAATAAACTTTTCCCACCGGTTTGGGATGAACCGGTGCAAAATCCAAGATTTGCCACCGGTTTATAAGGAACCGGTGAGAAAAGAAATTATCCAAATCCCGCCCATTTCTTTTCCCACCGGTTTTTAAAAACCGGTGGGAAAAGGGGGGTGCCTTTTTCATTTTTTCTACTAATGTATAGAAATTTTAAAATAGATGAAAATAAGTAAATTAAATAAACTCACATATCCGCTAATGACGTCAAAGGCTCGATGGTAATGTGTGGATGGTGGCGTGTAGCTGGGGTTGATGAAATGCCGTGTAATCCACCTGTATCGAACCATGTATGGATCGTGAGGATCCATAACGCCCTAGATTGGATCACCGGCGACGACGAACTCCAACCGTCGAGCCCACAGGTCAAGGAAACGCCCATGTTGCGCTGCCCAGTTTGTCTCCCCCTTTCCCCGATGGTCAATGCTGTGCAGACGGACATTAGTGTCACACTGCTGGGGGACAGGCTGACGTAGTCCAAACTGCCGCATGACTCGGTCGGGTAGGTGACTCTCCACAACCTCGAAACGGATCAAGGGGGTCCTGGAACGCTACTCTGCCTGATGATCCAGCAGATGTGCAAGCATAGCATCAACTAACTCTAGCACATACGGATCCCATGTCATCTGCAATAACACATGAATAGGTTAGTGCACAGATAGTATACAAATTACATAAATGTTTACAAATTCCTTTTAAGTTATCACCTGCTTCTCGGTGAGTCGGTCAAGGCCGTCTCGGTAGTACGAAAGACCCCTCGCAGCATGCGCATGTGTCAGTCTGGGGACCACCCACCTATTACCATAAAATGTTTTAGTTTGTCAACCAGCAAAATAAACCGTATGAGGTCTAAAATAATGACAACTATTACAAAACCGTACGCCTCGTCAGGCGTAGGGAGCGGTGGAGCAACATACGGCTGGTACTGCTGGTCCCGGTCCTGCGGCCCCCGACGATGTACAAGAGGCCTACCTGGTCTGACTACATGGATGTGCTCCCAAGCCCAAAACTGTAATACAAAAATACAAAACTAGGTTAAGTACAAACTAGGTAAGTAATTGGTGAACTAGATTGTTGATAATTAGGTGGGTTATCTGAAGCACAACCAAAGGACCTCGATCTCTCTAGAACCACAGTGACATGCTTTACACAGCTAGCGATACAACATCGCCAAACAGGAACTACCCCAGCTGTAGCCACGGATATGGTCCCAGTCGTGGTCTAACAACTGTAGGTAAATCAGCTACAGATGGTTCCCGCTCTTGTTGCCGAACAAGACGCCCGAGATGAGCAGGAACAGGTATGCTAGAGCATGTCTCCGAACCGTGGCATCATAAGCGTCCGCAGGCAGCACACGGAAAGTCTCGCGTATCCAGCCGGTCCTCAACCCGGTTCCCCTGATATCGTCGTTACCTGGCTGAACCCCGAGAACCTGAGCTACCAAACCAGGGGGATCGACTAACGAGGGTCCTGTCACCGCACGCCCGTGTATAGGAAGGAGCGTGAGTATTGCCACATCCCGCAATGTAACGGTTGCCTCCCCAACAGGTAGATGGAAGGAGTGCATCTCCTGTCTCCATCTCTCCGCGAGCGCAGTGACAAGCACGATCGATTTCTCTGAACGCCATCCGATGAATACTGCCGAAGCCAGCCAACTTGACGTACGGAATAATGTGTGGATCGACAACCCAGTCAGCCATGTGTCTGGTAGTGTAGTGCCTGCAAACCAGCAACCCTGCTGTATCAACTTGATAAATAACCGTAAATTCAACGTTAGATGCTATATTAATTTAACATGCATACTAATACATGAAGTGACGGATAAAAAATTACCGACTGATCCCATATGTCAACGCTTCGATGGCTTTCTTGTAGTGTCAGGACAGAAGGGTCGACAGGTCCAGGTGTCATATCTTGTCCGTCCATGATATCTGTTCATTAACAACGTTATACACCAATTATTAACACAATTACTAGATCATCAATTAAACACAATTTCTACCAAGTCGCTCTCCCCTTTCTGTTGTAACTTGGTAAATATGTAATCGGCGGTTATACGCATCCACTCTGTGATATCTGGCTTTTGCGGTGTTCTTCTCCAGAATGGCAGTGACCTTTGGGGGGGGGGGTATGCAAGTCCCTATGCAGACCTTGCCTCAGAAGACTCCCTTCTCAAAGTAAAATACATGTTAACTCTGTGAAAAGTTAACTCGACGAGGGACATGATCGGTAGAATTCGAGCTCCCTTCAACACATTGTTAAATGTTTCAGAGAAGTTTGTAGTACATATCCCATATATGTGACAAGCGTCGTGAAAGAGAGACCACATAGTGAACGGGACTTGAACAATATACTCCATGGCCTTGGTAGAAGCCTCACCGATGAAACACAGATCAGCTTGAAGTTTTCTTTCCTGCCTGTGGTACGCCGCAGCCTTGAACATATCTCTCATGTCGTTGCTTCGCACGTGAGTCTTCAAGTTAGAAGCTATGTGGAGAACACAAAACCTGTGATATGCTGGCGGCTTGGTGAATCCAATGTTAGGGTCATTCATTGCTGCAATGATCCTAGGATGTCGATCAGATATAACACAGAGGCCATCTCGTTGCGCGACATGAACCCGAATGCAGCCCAAAAACCAAGACCAGCTGGAAGTGTTTTCCCCTTCAACCAACGCAAATGCTAGCGGAAATACTTGAAAGCTTGCATCCACACTTGTAGAAACCAACAGTGTTCCTTCATACTTCCCGTACAAGTGCGTCCCATCGATACAGATAACAGGCATACAATGTTTAAAACCGTCGATACAAGGACCAAAGGCCCAAAACACTCGTTCAAACATTTCCATGTTGCTGGAGTAAAAACCATCCACCAGAGCTTTGTGTTTCCATACAACAACGGTTCCCGGGTTTGACTGTTGGAGTGTCTGCATGAAGTGCGGAAGTCTACCGTAAGAACTCTCCCAATCCCCAAATATTTCAGCTATAGCTTTCTCCTTGGCATACCATGCTCTTCGATACAGAACTTCGAAATGAAATTGCTTGGAGATGAGTTCTTGTATGAATTCAACTTTCAAGGTCGGATCTTTCTCCACAAAGGACATCACATACTCAGATATTATGGACGAATCCAAGTGTGGGTGGTCAGTAGATAGTACTTCTGTGACACAGTTCTCCCGGTGCGGGCCTTTGTACTTGACTAAGGTAAAGCCACGCGAGTACTCACTTGATTTGGTACCCCGTAGCGACCAACCACATTTCTTCTTGCACCGCAAATGAAGGACACTCTCATTCGAGGTAACCGTGGTGTAGAATTGATTTCTCTGTATAGAATACATCTTCACCATTTCTTAAAGCATTGTCCTACTTTCAAAATACATGCCCTTCTCAAATTCTCCCCCGGGAACAAATGATGTATGCCTACTCGATTCGGCCCAATATTGATCAATTTCATAGTTCTTGTTTATCTAACTAAACTAAGGTACGGGAGTTCTAACCATGGGCTCGCCAACTTCCATGTGTGCAGGTTCAACATCCATGTTCTCAAGTCTATCTTCCTCCTCTCCGCTCTCGGCCTCATCATTTGTTTCCGCGTACACATCATACACAGACAATTCGTTATTCACAATAGTTTGAAGATGATTTGGCACAGGTTGAGACGGTGATGCTTGAACATCATCTTGCATCGGTGAAGATGCGACGGTGTTTTGATGTCAATGGACCAGGTTGGCCGAACATTGTCACATATGCCCCCCCATGTACAGGTGAAGCTATATGAAAACTAAACGGCATGTTAAATTGATCGTCGTGCAGCATTCTACTGAAAGATCTCATCCCGTATTCATTCGATGGAATGTCGTGTGAGGGCACTTGGAAGGACTCTGTGTTGTAACCGGAAATATATGTAGATTGTTGTTCTGGCCGAGTACTTTGTTGGGTACATATAGGCACCATCTTTACATATATCTCAGTGGGAACACCCTTCATTGCAACAACGCTCCTCAAAGCTTTCAAATGTTTATTCGTAGAAACAGGTAACACTTGAACCCCATTCCCAGTCTCAAACCTCATTTTAATGTTTAGTTCAACATTCCTTGGGTTTGAACCAATACTACTATGAACCTCGTTCATCAAATCATTGAAAGTCATGTTCGGTTCAAGTGTTAGTGGTTCCATATTTCCTCCACTATACTCGACACGGGGTCCATCTAACAGAATTTAACCTCCCCACCGACATAACAACACAACATTTTGTGCAGCCATATTCTACATAACAACCAAGACACATTATACTTAAAGGCACTAAATCATCCCTAAATCTCCATAATCAAACAACAATGTAGGTTATCAACAGTTTTCAACATTATCAACAATTATCTAAACTAACAATTCAACATTTCAACATTAACAATTCAACTAACAATTCAACATTTTGAACCCCATTGAACTAACAATTCAACATTTCAACATTAACAATTCAACTAACAATTCAACATTTTGAAAAACCAATAACAAAAACCCCATAGTTTAAAAAACAAAGAGAGAGAGGGCAAGTACCAAACTAAGGGGTGACGTGAGGCTATGTCGTCGGAGAGGTGTCGTCGTGCGGTCATCGGTAGGCGGTGGTCGGAGGCAAGGGAAGCTTCTTGCTTTGAGTTAGAGAGAGATTGAGTGAGGGAATAGAAATTGAAAATGAAATGCAAAACCTCGAAATGTTGCTGCTTTCTTCTGTATATTCGAATGAAACGTTGAACAATGCAATTAGACTGGTTTGATCCCTTAAACATGGTATCACATTGAACATTGTTGTGGACAATGCAGACTACCTTGACTGGAGACAAATCATAATAGAAGAAAATCCCAGGAATCGACTGATAGTGTCCGGGTGGAGAATTTTTTAAATGCTCTGTCACAG